ATTCAGAATCAGCTCAGGTGTGCCGCAAGGGAATTTATTGGGCCCCACTCTGTTCCTCCTATAATTATGTCAATGACATGGAGGACCACCTCCCAGCTGCTACCCAGCTTGCCATAATTATATGCATATGAGACTACACTATACCAGTGCATCCCGTCCCTGACAGCTCTCCCAGCTGGCCTTGCGCAGCTTCAGACCGATTCCTCCAGCCACTTTCAATAGGGTGACGGTTGAGGGAGTGGAGGAGCTGAAGTTGCTTGGAGTGCTCTTCGATCGGAGCCTCTCCTTCCGCTCCCACATTCGACAAGTAGCAATCCATGGTCACCAACGTCTTGGCTTCATGAGGAAGGCTCTGCCAATCCTCGCCGGACAACAAAGCCAAGCTTGCCGTGTGCCGCGGCTTCGTCCGCCCAGTACTTCAGCACTGCCCACTTTCATGGTTGGGTCCGTCCCAGTCTGCCCTGAACCAGCTGGACCGAGTACTGCACCGAGCCCTAAAGCTCATCGGCCCGGGGTCGTATCTCCCAGGCCTCACTCTTCGGCGTCAAGTCGCAGCACTCACATGCCCATACAAGCTGCACTGGATTGATGGTCCCCCAATCTTGACCACCGTGACACCACCGAGGGCATAATGTTAACCAGCACCGGCCCTCCTCTCGCCACCAGCAAGAGGTCATATCCTTTATTGCTGAACCAACAAATTGTGCTACAGATTGAAAAGAACCATTCGAGGTAAAAGAAAAAGCCACTACTCACTTACTGAAGTACAAAATACTATTGCACGTAGCCGCACCTGCACAAGGTCTCAAGTCTCGCTTGGACTTGTACTGCCACGAGCCTCCTCTCGATTTGGTTATATTCCTCTCTTTCTTATTTAGCCGCTGACCGCTGGAACTCAGTTCCGGCATCGGTCCGCCTTGCTGCTTCACCAAATCAATTTCGTATCGCAATCCTAGATTGGCTAGGGTGCCCCGTAAGGAGACCGTAGGTCTGTGGGGACTGCCCTAGAGAAATATGAATAAATACATACATGTACATACATAACTGACTTGTCGCAGTGGTATGAGACCTTTCGGTATGCATGCAACGTCTTGATTCCTGGGGACGGGGAATATTTTACTTGAAGCAGAAGTAGTTTCCATGGATCTCAGTTCAGTTGCACTTCTGGCTGTTTGCCAAGCTTGCAAGGCCTTGCACGCGTACATATGAGCAGTAGACATGGTAGAGGTAGAGGTTGCATTGATGCATAAATAAGTGCCATTACTGACTTGTAACGTCTTGACTCCTGGGGATGAGTGCCCCATTTAAGTGGGGTATCTTGAAGTAAGTTTTGGGAAAACCCTCAGCACTCCAAAGCCAAAGCTGCACAGAAGCTGCTTCGGACACACGGAATGGACAATGTGGGATGCAGTGTAGCCCATGGCCGGTACTGCTCATCTCGAGTCATCTGTACGCGTCCTTGGCAAACTGCCAGAAGTGCAACTGAACTACGATCGATGGAAACTCTGTATCTCCTGCGGCGCGTGTAGTGAATCTCCGCTGCTATTATATTATGCGATGTGAACACAGTAATTTTGGAAACGAGTCAGTTAGTTGAGAGGCTAGATACGAGGCTAGTGTTCTAGTAAAGAAGCAAAATGGGACAGAATGAAAGCAGTCCGATAAAGACCATGAGGCTCGCGTATGAAACCTCATGCCTTCCCAGGAACATACAACAGTATAAACGAGTGGCGGAAGAGTTACTCAAGGATGTGAACAAGGAGAAGAAAGCGTCATCGAAGCTCAGTAAGCCTATTTCTTGCATCGTCGGTGTCCCCGCGTCCTGCAAGGAAGCTCTTCACAGCTTGCGCTGCAACCTGGAGAGCACCTTGATTGCTGCACAGGTGTGTCGCGGGGCTGACGCATTGTTCGTGGACAAGATCATGGCGACATTCAGTGTGCTCCTCCAGACTAATCTTTCCTTCAACGGCACTTTCGTGCTCAAGCAAAAGTACGAAGAGATGTACGCATATGATGATGGTGAAAACATCACTGGTATGGGAATCGCCGGTCAGTTCCATGCCTGCGCGGATCCGATTCCTGCCGCAGCTGAGCAAATGAAGCCACTTAACATGGACAGCCAAACGGTCGGTGTTTATTTCGTGGGACACTGTCAAATTACTCAGGTGGACAGTCCCCACCTACGCGAGCTACTGTCGTCCGAGCTGAGGATCAAGATACAAGAGAAAATACTGGATGGCACCTTCAAGCGCGACAACGGTAAGGAGATTACCTTTGAGGAGTTTGAAATAGAGCTGCAGGGTATTCAAGAGAAAATGGGCCCTAGTACTCAGCCCCAGGATGCAAACGAACTGCGCAAAACCCTCAAAACACATATGATGGAAGTTAAGGCACCAGTCCAGGAGACCAGACCCTCAGACAGCGACTCAAACTCAAACTCAGAGTGACGGAGCACCAGCTAAAGCCAGTAGAGACCGTGAGTACCAAATACTGGGGAAGAAGACATCCAAGATGCCGGAAACAACATGCTTGCTGACAGCAGTCTCTGAGCTGTGTTTGAAAGCCCGCGCTAGGTGTAGGGCTAATTCTTTAGTTCCGTCGCTCAGTGAACTGGGTGGTCATCTTGCATCATTGGCGTTTTTCACTTTTTTGTCAGTTTCTTTCTTTACTATTTCTCTTGCTTGTCTGCTTTGCTTGCTTACTTTGGTCTTTTGGCGACATTAATAATTTAATATATGTGTTGCATATTGCGAGAGGGTGAGAATGAGCAGGAGGCATGCAGCTCTCAATCCCTTGTCATGCATACTCGTATTGGCTCAAGCTGCCCATGGAAATGAAGATAATATCCAATATTAGACAGTTCATAGACCATGTTAAATGTCATGCCACGTTGTAGGCTCGCTCGCCTCTTTTGCTAGCTTATCTCGCCGCTCTCCACCATGGTCAACATAGTGATACATTTCACCCCGCTGATGCATTATTTTCTTCCGATTATCATCTTCTTTCCTTCATTTTTTTCTTCTCTTGCCATGGCTGGCTAACGCCCCCTCCTTTGCATTGGCTTCTGCCATTGGACGATGACATAATAATAATAATAATAATGCCATGAGTTTGCGATAGAATCACATGCATTGATTTCATTGGTCGCTGGCGTAGTAAGCGATGGTGTTGCTTGCGCTGCATACAAGAACATCACGTGTAGCTTGATGCACGGTCAGCTAGGTGGGGTACTCTTCTAGATCCTAGCTTTCACATTTGGTTTCCTTAGGATTACGTCTCTTGTTCCCATGCTTATATCCATTGCTGTTCTTGAGCTTTTCTCCCCGTTGTACCTAACACTAACCCTGTAGCTGTTGCGTCTCCACGTGTGTGCGGTAGGCACCGGCGGATTATGCCCGCATAATTATTGGCATAATTAATTTTGGTGGTTAATTTTTGGAGCATAATTTGGCATCCTTTCGGAGGCGGGAGCATAACTAATTCATGATTGTACCATAGTTCTAGTATGTAGGCTACACAATTGTGTACCATGCACCTGATCAGCGCTGGTGGTCTGCATGGTAACGGGTTCGGAAGTCATGGAGATAGCGATTTCAATGAAAGGCAGTGTAGAAAGCGAAGGACTAAAGGGACCGTCACTTAATTTTTGCCGACTACCCGCCAAAAAAATCTTTTCGTTTCACGTGTCAGACACGTCCGCGTGCGCGTACGACTCGCTACCTTTCACGTCAAGCAATCTGTTCACGCCACATGGCTGGATAGCGCGTACTACAACTTGTACAAGCAAACATGATTGAAGACTTGCAAATAATTAATTTAAAAAAAATTTACAAGTCCAGGCGCTAGGCCGAGCTACAAAAATGCTACCAGGGAGTAGTAAAATACTGTATTTTACTACTCCCTGGCTGCTACTGACAAATTTTCACCAGTTGTAGTCTTTGGGGGTACGAGAGTCGAATGGTCTTGGTCCGAGGAAGCTGAGACGCTCCCTTCCTCCTTTATTCCCAATCGAACTCGCGCACTTCCACCGAAACTGGGTGACTGCGCCCTACTAGATGGGGATTTGTATGCAAAATGTCACTAAAAGCGCCATTTCGTTCTTATAAAAGCACGGATGACCGCCATTGGCCCATATGTTGTAGTCTTTTGGACGCTGAGTCGACTGGTTTTGGTCCGAAAAGGCTGCGATGCAGCGTTCCTCCTTTATTCCCAATCGAACATGGTTGAATAAGCGGTCACGTGCTCCTGCGTACACCAGTCACCTTGTCACGGTGCCTGCAGGGTACAACTTACTAGCCTGTTTACTAGCCTGTTTGACCTTTTTTGGGTGCAGTCCTGTCACTCGAGTTGAACTCGAGTTGAACCTTGGTGTGAAAGTTGTCGCCTGCTGGCGTTACGTGGTGACCAGGTGATTTTGGGCACTCAGGGCCAGGAGCACGTGACCGCTTGTTCAACCATGTTCGATTGGGAATAAAGGAGGAACGCTGCATCGCAGCCTTTTCGGACCAAAACCAGTCGACTCAGCGTCCAAAAGACTACAATATATGGGCCAATCGCGGTCATCCGTGCTTTTATAAGAACGACAGAGCACTTTTAGTGAGATTTTGCATACAAATCCCCATCTAGTAGGGCACTGGGCGCAGTCACCCAGTTTCGGTGGAAGTGCGCGGGTTCGATTGGGAAAAAAGAAGGAAGGGAGCGTCGCAGCTTCCTCGGACCAAGACCATTCGACTCAGCACCCAGAAGACTACAACTGGTGAAAATTTGATTTTAGGGTATACTTTTGTAGATACGTAGATCTACTACGTAACGAAAGATCTACGTAACCATGGTAACGTCCTTGGGCCTTATCTCAGTACCTAACTACTTACTTCCTAAGAGTCAGACGTAGGCTACGAGCGCTGAGCGGTCGCGTCATCAGGTCATGTGACGCTGTCAGGCTGAGGCATCACAAAATAATCGGAACCACAGATTTTTCTTCATTGTTCGATTATTTTGATTGCTCCTATCCTATCCTCCTACATTCTGACTTCAAAAGGTACAAACATACTTGTTGGGACCAGACTTGTGGCTAACGCCACTGAATAACCCACCAAAACGTGCCGAAAAGGTGAGGAACGGTGCACTCCAAGGGCGTGTGTCATTCTGCGCAGCTGAAAGTTGATATTTCGTTTAGCACCTAACATGGATGGGTCACGCCGGAGCGCGCTGGCTGACCTGGTTTGCCTAGCAGCTCTGCTGGCTCTCGCTGTTATCGGTCAGGTGTCCGCCGATGACCCGAACTACATGATCGGTCGGGGAATGTACGACATGACTGGACCAGCAGGAGAAATCAATTTCGTAAGAGCCTGAATACGAACACGAATAGACCTGCATGACATTTGACATCTCTAGACTATATCAGAATTCTATGAATAAAACAATTGATAGTTAAGAGTAGAGCCCACAAGCTCTCTTCCATTAACAGGTTGTGAACCTGATGAAGGCAATTTGCCGAAACGTTGTAATAATTATTGTGAAATGAGTTGAACTATTGCAGTGTTGATGGAAGAGAGCGTGTGGGTTCTACTTCGAAGTACTCATAACTGTTTATGAAACTGCAGGAAGCCTCCCCCACTTTTACTTAAAACAATTGATGCCGAAATAGTACCATGATGAACTAGTGGAATAACATACCTTATTTTTCGGAGTATAGTGCGCACCTTTGTATAACGCGCACCCCCAATCTTCATTGGGGGTGCACACTTCAATCTTCATTGAAGTACATGCATTTCATATTCGAAGCATAGTGCGCACCTGCAATTTAGGGCCTAAAATAGCACATCTAAAGTGCGCACTATACTCCGGAAAATACGGTAATGTAAAGAAGAATCCCCTCAACCAGTGGATAAAGAAGAATTCAGAAATGCTTTTCTTCAATGGGCATCAGTGAACCTACATCGAATAATACGTAATATGGGAAACGAACCATAGTATTATGCTCAAAATCTGTGTTGATTGAAGGTACCAAAGTGACTACTGAAACAACACTGAAGAAAGAAGAAGAAAAAGGGAGGAAGGATGATTGTATTGTCACAATGGTGTGAGAACCGACTGATTTGTATCAAGCGCTGCAGTCCGGCGATAACCCTTCTACACGACTTTACCCAAGGAAGGGGAAAACGAATCCGCTTCTGCCGCTCAAAATGAAGGGGTTTGCTCATGGTATTAAACAGTGCCTTCAGCGTATGTAACTTGAGATGAAGAAAGCGGAGTTGCTGTTGACGTGCTAAAGTGATCAATCCACGAAGAGGAGCCTGCGACATTTCCTCCTGTTTCTCGCCATTGTGAACTTGTGCTGTGTGTAACTTGAGATGAATACGATTGATACACACCCATTCATATGTATTACAGTCGTTTCATGTAGACCTTAAAGTGCTTGTTCGACTGAGATCCTTCATGTATGTAATCGAGGAAATTTGTGCACAAAATTGACGTTATGCAACTTTGCTGATATGACTGAACGCAAGCACCCTGCTGTTTTGACTTGTGACTCTGTGTTGTATTGTGAACAAACAGATGGGCTATGCAAACCCAGCGCAGACCGGACGCGGCATTCACCTGCGCCAGTTTGCACGAGCATTCGTCCTGATGGACCCGGCGACAAGCAAGCGCTTTGCCTTCGTAAACATCGACGGCTGTATGGCGTCGCAAGTGGTCACGTTGCAGGTAAGCCAAGTTGCTATTGGCCTAGTCTGATCATGCATGGGCACTAGTAGTGCTAAACTGGTTACTCTTATCAGACGAATACCGTATCATCTCTATTACAAGCCCAGTCTCTTGTAGAAGCCCAGTCTCTATTATAAGCGCACTCCAAGAGGGCAAGTCATCATTGACTACCTGAAGAAGGCCATTGGCCGAAACGTTGTATAATGGAATGGTTCGGAAATTTGCAGAGTGTTTTGGAATGGGTGGGTTCACCCAATTGGACTTACAGTTGAACATCGATTATCCGACCACCTCTGGGCAGACAACTGTCAGGCGGTGTTCAGATAAGGCAAATGTTCCGGAGAAGAAAAAACTGTCACTCACACACTTTCAGTTGTTATTACTAGCCGCACGACCTTTTTACTTTTCACAAAATTTTCGTATTTTTTGAATGGCTCACTACATGCACAGTGCGTACTCTACGGCACGTGCGCCCAAAAAAACTGTTACGGATAATCGAATGGTCGGATAGTCGATGTGCGGATAATCGATGTTCAACTGTACTATGAAACTGCAGGAAGCCTCCCAACTTCTTCTCTCCAAGAGGGCTTCGAAGATAAACAAGTGCAGTCTCCAATAAGAACAGGGCTTATAATGGAGAACTGTATGGATCATGTCCATGCATGTTTGACGTCACACAGTATCACATAAACACATGCTGTGGTAAAAGTCTGTGATCCCCGAAATCTAAATTTCAGACTCAGTGTACCAGGAAGCACAAAACTGCTGTCCCCATACCTGCTGGGAAACTTTGTGCTACTGATATAATGAAAAATAATAGGCAATGTACTGTATTATGTACATGTACCAGGTGGTTGAAAAATTATAAGCCCAGTCTCTTTTAGAAGCCCAGTCTCTAGTATAAGCCCGGGGTCTGGACTGGTTGAAAAAATATAAACCCAGTCTCTTGTATAAGCCCGGGGTCTGGACTGGTTGAAAAAATATAAGCGCGGAGCTTATAATGGAGATAATACGGTACGAGTCGTAACTTAGGTGCTCTTGCGTCTTGGCAATGGATTGTATCTTGGGGCCTCCAACACACTGCGATGTAACGTACAGTGTGTGGTATAGCATCCATGTACATCAGGACACTGTGACATCATACACACCTTCCGTTTTCAGTACTTGTATATCCGTACTGAAAGCAGAATCGACCCTCCCCCCCCCCCCCCCCCCCAAAAAATCATTTTTCATTTCATCCACATTTGTGGACAGCCCCTACACAGCATTATTCAAAGCTACTTGCAGCTGCCACAGGTATAGTAATGCTGAGCGCACAGAGTTTAACGGATTGACTGACTGACTGACTGATTGACTTCCACTGTCTGCTTACCCACTGTATAGGTACTGGATCTGCTGCGTGTAGAGTTTGGCAGTGTGTACACGGAGGACAACGTGTGCATAACCGGCACTCACACACACTCCACGCCGGGCGGCTTCTTCCAGTACGTCCTCTTCGACATCACCAGCGTCGGCTCTGTAAACCAGACAATTCAGGCATACGCTAATGGTAAGTTGCTTCTGCAGCCATCACTATAGTTATATGCATGACAGTGGTATGCTACGAGTGACACAACACCTACGGAAGGTGTCATGATAACACATAGTTCCAGATAGTTGGCCTGTAAATCTAGATGTCTAAGTTGTACGTTCTGGGTCAATAATATAGCATAACATTCTGGTGCTCGTGCATGTGTGTGTTTTCTTTCTCCTCTCTTTCTCTCTTTCCCTTTCTTTCTTTCTTTCTCTCTTGCTGTTTCTTTCTCTCTTTCTTTTTCTCTTTCTCTAATTCTCTTGCTCTCATTATCCCGTTGTCTCTCTTCGTCTACGGCTCTCTCTCTCTCTCTCTCTCTCTCTCTCTCTCTTTCTCTCCTCCCATCTTCCCTCTACCCCCCCCACCCCCACCACACACACACACATACCTATGCTCTATCGCCCTCTCTTCTATCTACCTAGGTCACATGCTCACCATGTCTGCAACGGTTCCTGTGCTTATCATCATCTGCACACTTCCATCTCATGATCTGCTGCAGGTATTGTACGCGCAATCAAGATGGCGCATACTAACATGCAACCTGGGTATGTGTTAATCAACAGTGGTGACTTGCTGAATGCCAGTATTAACCGCAGTCCAACAGCATACCTCTGGAATCCGGCTGAGGAGAGAGCACAGTAAGAAGGCGTTTGCCACCGTACTGGCAATGCTGCTGCTACTACTGCTGCTGCTACTGCTGCGACTGTTACTGCTGCTGTTACTGCTGCTGCTGCTGCTGCTACTACTGCTGCTGCTGCTGTTGCTGTTGCTGCTGCTGTTACTGCTGCTGCTGCTGATGCTACTGCTGCTGCTACTGTTGCTGGTGCTGGTGCTGGTGCTGCTGTAGCTGCTGCTACCGCTGCAATGTCTGAGCCGAAACTGACCAGGCCCAGATCCAACTCCTGAGGGTCGGTACGGCCCTAGAATGGCTACAGGAAGGATTATTTCCCCATGCCCAATTTCAAAATCCTGGGAGGATACATCTCTAGCTCTATGCATCATATCTGTTTGTTTCAGCTACACATTCCTTTAGCAACATATATGATAGCTAGCGCAGTGGACCTCACTGGACAAGAAGAACACTTTTAAAAGGAGGGGAGGCTATAGCGAGGAGTGAATAACTAGTAATACCTTACTAATAAGGATAGCTTGCTACTAGTATTCCGGATAATCAATTGCCCACTGAGCAGCCCATGAATGCTGGAATTGGTAAAAACTGGTACAGCCATGGCCGCACCAGCCGTACCAGTACCGGTGGCGCCGTTCCTGCTGACTCATACTTGTACTTTCTCTGGACTACGTGTTAGCTAGGGTTACACAGTTGTGAAGTGTGTACTAGCCAGTAGCCCACTCGTCTTCCCCTTCCTGTGAGCAGAACCTGTGACATTTGAGCACCTGTACCCGGATAGCAAGCCTGAACTTTGAACACAATTGAAGTATACGGTGGTATATTATATTATTTCAGAATCATTGCTGCTGTGTACTGATACTGATACGTTGTCCTTTTGGCCTGCCTTTGATGTTGTGCGCGTTGGTGGCTAGGTATGAGCATGACACGGATAAGCTCATGACCGTCCTGAAACTGGTGGATGCAAAGATGACAGGGATTGGAATGATCAGGTCAGTTTGCCGCACACTCCGTATGTAACGTGTGTGAAGATGTGCGTCTAGTCATTTGTGCAGACTCTAGCAATAGTTGTTGGACTTGCGTCAGCATCACCTTCACAAACATCCAAGCTACTAGTAGTCCTTATCTCGGCCAATTTTCACCATGCCTCTGTTCAGTAGCCAGTTCCGAAATAGTGGCATGGACATTCGGGCAGCATCACGGTCAACCACTGCGCAGATTCAATCCCGGAATCAGGGTAGTAACTTCACACCTAGTATTCCAACATGAATTTTACTTCCGTTAGCTGCACATTCCACTGTCAGCAGATATCACCAAGCAGTCAATCAGTGCAAATACTGCAATACTGTATTATAGCAGTATTGTAGCAAAGATGAATAGTGTTCTGGTTTACTAGTAGTTGGCTGTATGCTGGACAGAATAGGATCGCTGCAGACAATCCAGAAGAGCTGAACTTTCTGGAACGTGTACAGGCATGCCTGCACTGCGACTCCTGGTGTCAGATTCTGCACTCCATACTTAGTAGCAGCTGCTAGTATCTATACTAGTATTGAAGTAGGTGGTATAGTACTGTGTAATATGAATGGCTATGCCCGCGGACACCAATACTGTTGTGTGATTGCAGCATGTGAAGTACGAATAGTGGTTGACGAATGGTATCATGAGTTTGTTGCGTTTTCTTGTTTTTTTTTCATGCATGTGTGTGTATGTGTGTATTTGTGTGAATCTGTATGCATGGCTATAGCTGGTTTGCTGTGCACTGCACCAGTATGAACAACACCAACAGACTCATCAGTAGCGACAACAAAGGCTATGCTGCGCTCCTCTTTGAGGAAACCATGAACCCAGGACATTTCCCAGGACAGGTACGGGCCGTGTGTACTAGGGCTGGCGAAATTGGTAAGGTCATCCTGCATGAGACATGTGTGTGCGATTTACTTTTCTTGTTATCGGCCATTATACATTTGCCTCAGAAATTACTGAATGCAGTGGAACTCTGCATTCAGTACATACTATAAAATAAGAGGTCCACTCGCTTAGTATGGACATCATCCAGGCATGGGGGGAGCATTGCTACAATGTAGCAATGCAGTCAGACCTCGCTTATCCGGTCCTCTTTTTGATCCGGATCCCTCGCCATCCAGAAGAATATCGTCGTTACCGATTTACGGCATATGTCATACATACATACCGTATGTGTGTTCGATCACTGATCCGGCTCCCTCGCCTATCCGGATATTTTTTGTGGAAAACGGATGTGTGCGGTTAAGCGAGGTCTGACTGTACTCCCTCCATGTCTGGATGTCATACTGAAGTATATTTGGGTAAGAAGTACCTCAGACACTAAATACACTTTCCTGCTCCCCATGTGCCGGGTAAGTTTTATCAGAGAGTTCCGGCACTGCATTTCAACAATCCTGAGACACATGTACAGTCCTGAGGGACATGTACAGTCCTGAGGGACGTGTACAGTCCTGAGGGACGTGTTCAGTCCTGAGGGACGTGTACAGTCCTGAGGGACGTGTTCAGTCCTGAGGGACGTGTACAGTCCTGAGGGACGTGTACAGTCCTGAGGGACGTGTTCAGTCCTGAGGGACGTGTACAGTCCTGAGGGACGTGTACAGTCCTCAGGGACGTGTACAGTCCTCAGGGACGTGTACAGTCCTCAGGGACGTGTACAGTCCTGAGGGAGGTGTACAATCCCGAGGTGCATGTACAGTCCCGAGGTGCATGTACAGTCCTGAGGGACGTGAAAATGATGAGGAAATATGCTGTACAGTAAAACCTGTGACTAACAACCACCCCTTGGCCAACCCTTGGGGCCAGAGAAAGCAGTCTTTAGTGGCAGGTGGTCCTTAGTTAGAGGTTTGCACCGCACAACCATATTAGATGAATGTGAGACCGACCATGCCTGGCGAAGTGGTCTGTAGTACCAGGCTGGTCGCTAGTCACAGTGGTCTTTAGTTACAGGTTTTACTGTATGCTGTACCCCCTCGAATAGAAGCTCCTCTTTACACCCCCCCCCCACCCCCCCCCCCCCACACACACACACACTCAAAGTGACAACATGGATACAACCTGTATTTTACTCTATAGTTCACATGCTACACGACTGTACAGATGCCTTGCTCGACAATGTCTTTGTTTGTTTGGTGCTGGAGTATGTGTTCGTGTGTTTTTCATCTGTGTGTATGCTCACTGTGCTTCAGGGTGACTTTGTGGCAGCCTTTGCCCAGGGTAATGAAGGCGATGTTTCGCCCAACACCAAGGGAGCTCGCTGCATCGATACAGGTCTGCGATGCGAACAGAACCGGAGCACGTGTGATGGCAAAGTGAGTTGGATGTGAATTCACATACTAGTAGCACTCCTGACAAACGTTCAAACTAGTACATATTTCCCACTTTGGAGAGCATTGGTCAAGTCCGAATTTTCACCTAGGCAAAATGTGTAAGAAAGATGCCTGCTCGCAACCTTTGAGCTACAAGTTTCATGCCGACCTGATTTGACACTTGATTAACTCACTATTGCCGCCCCTGAGAGACAACGACTGTGCATGTTCTAGCTCATCTAGTACTAGTACACATATGGTATTAGATCTGAACACAGTGGTCCTCCACTGACCTTGTTACATGCTGTCAACCAGCTACTAGTACAACCATGTCTATACCATTACCAACAACAGAAATTCAAGAAGTTGTGGTCGGAATTTGCATCAGCTACCTGGTTTCAGCATAACTCCTCAACCCGGTTGGCGAAATATTTCAACAGCTGCCACTTCTAAGCTAAGAAATGGCTGTAGCCACTGCACTGTTGTTGGTACTTTAACCAGCAACAGATGAACCAGCCATATGTTAGTGTGCGATGTTGTAGGCTAGAGAGGCTGGCTATACTCGGAACAAGTGCATCCTCAGTACCGGCATCGTAGTGATGACCAAAGTATATCATATCCCTATGAGAGAGCCTTTCTTTATCTGAAGCAGCAACCATGCTATTTGTAGACACTATCTGCACCACAAGTATTCTGTGAAAGGTATACCGAATTTTTGCAAGTAGCTTCTGCTGTTCCCGTTTGTATTATTTTTATTTTTTCACCGTGTCATGTCCCTTCCTCCCTCTCTCATAACAGCCACCTTCACTTCCTTTCCCCAGGAGACTCCCTTTGATAGGCATCATTTTGCCTGTGGAGAATCCTTAAAAATATATTATCAATCAATATCAATCAATTTGATATCCTATGTCCTGTTCTGCTCACCTTGCTGTCCACTGCAGAACGAGAAGTGTATTGCATTCGGTCCCGGCAAGGACATGATGGACAGCACCCGCATCATTGCCACACTGCAATACGAGAAAGCCAAGGTCAGATGATTTCCATCACTTCCACAGCTGCAATACACAGCAACAGCATTGCTTCTTGTAGTGCTCAGTCAACTGCTGTAGCAAAACATTTCCTACAAACCTGTCTACCTATTCTCCTCAGTGGGTACATCGTAATGACGCAAAGAAATTCACAGCAATCCAATGTGTACTGTAGAGGTTATGCGATGACATCATCAGCTGTGATGCTATGACAAAGTCGCTGCACAGCGATGCACTAGTGACTCACTGTGCTGTATACATAGCACCCATAAGCAGTTCCATTGAATTCACCACCATGACATCATTCGCATAGCCTCTATAGAAAGGTGTGTGGTGAGATTTAGTGCTAACAGTGTTCTATCAAATGGCTTCACATGAGGAAGTATGAGTGAGGGAGAGAGGCGGAGAGAAGGCCATAGCCATGGTTTTTGTCTTCAAATTGGCGCCTTTTCTCTTCCTGACACTTTCTTGCGTAAAAGTGTGGATAGAATATAGCACGAAACCTCACACAAAGGTGGGAGCTATGGCTGCAAAAGTGCTGAATGAACACAAAGTGCAGAGCCGTTCACACGCTGGGCACAGAGAGAACCAAGTTTCTTGTTGGGGCTCCGAGTTTCACGCTAAGGCAATCATCAGCCATTGATTTTGTTCCCGGTGCATGGGCGCTAAATCTCCTCGCGCACCTTCCAATACTGTAGATATTGGGTTGTTCTGATTTCAGTTTCCTTTTGTTCATTCTCATGTACTACAGTAGCATCAACTGATGAGAGTGGTTTGAACAGGTTTTGGAAAATATTTTGCAGTTGATTCAGTAACGAAACTAGGAACATTGTGTGTGATTAGATTTCTGTATTTAAAATCCCTGTCTACAATGAGTCAATGACACGATTGCGTCAAGGATGATGGTTCTCTGGTCACCATTGAGCACTCAGGTCTGCTGGAACTGGTCTAGTTCGTCAGGCCATCGCCGGGCCAACCTTTTAGCTAACAACGTGTGTTAACTGTTGAGGAGGTCATGCGTATCTGCCGTATCGTACGAGAGGCGTATGATATGGCTGGACCAATTGAAAACTGCTTCCGGTGGTCCAGGTGCTGGCTGCCTATGGTGTAGGAGAGTTTGCTCGGGTAGGCCATGCATCTTTGGTGCATTGCTAGGGCTTATGAAAGCAGCTCTTCAGCTGCATATCTACATGTACAGTATGACCAACCCGCGCCCATACTCCTCGGAGGGTGCAGATCTGCTTTGGGTTGCATGCCAGTGAAGTGTACACAGCATATCATCTCAATGCTGCCAGTTTCTAGATAATACACTACTTTGCAGGAAGATCCATGATTGCCCTGTGGACAAAGCCTGTATGCATACCATCGTGTACAATGTGACTGATGTAAGAAGTTTGGATCTCGTTGCAACAGCCCCCCCCCCCCCCCCCCCCCCCCCAGTGCAGAAAGTGATGTAAGAAATTTGGATTTCGTGGCGACAGCCTCTCAATGCAGAAACTTGCCAGAAAGCGATGTAAGAAGTTTTACTTGCTCACTCTGCGGGCCAAGGACTCTTAGCGTGACCTATTGCTTTGAGGTATGTACAGACGGACCTGACACATTGGTCCAGCAAATCAGCTGACTTCTGTGTAGAGTAGACGGTTCGATACCGGAACGCCTTGACAGCCAAATTTGTATAGACCCAAACCGATCATCAGCGTTGATTTTTCACTCGAAATATGTTTGTGGAAGGAAACTGGCATGTTGAAGTTTGCTCTGGGGCCAGAGTCAATCGAACTGAGCCACTCCTTTGTGTTGACCCATTGCCTTCAACTTGCCCAATTTTTCGCTTCAAAAAAGTTCAAATCAGAGGTGGCTCTAAACCGGACACGTTTTAGAGTGCACGTCAAATTCACTCTGGGTCTGAAATTAGGTAATTGCTATCGCTCCGCGACGGCCAGTACAGAGTATCAATACGCCTTGTGTGTGCTTCCATTAGTTTTGATTGGTATGCGGTGCTTTATTGGCGAGAGGCGAGCCGCTGTTTACCTGCGACAAGAAGTTGATTTTTCGAAAGTCGTAAAACTCAAGTCGCAGTGCGAAGCAACACGTCAAAAACTCACCTGCTTGGTATGGCGCTTCTGGTCATCGCAGAGCCATGAAATTTTGGCTCGGAGTATAACACATCGTAGTCTCACTGTGACATATGTTTTCTAATCAAAATTCCAAGAGAGAAAGTGAATATTGAGTCCGTTCCGGTTTGCAACCGGTGTCCTATTTGAAACCGTCCCCTCTACATGTACGTTTTGACTTCTGCAGGAACTGTATGACGGCGCCAAAACAGTACTGACAGGCCCCATTGACTATCGTCATAGTTACGTGCAGATCAGCAACCAGACGGTGGACTTCAATGGCACAATGGTGAGGAAAGCAAGCCACTCTGCATGCACGGCACCACAGACCAATCAAACACTGCAAATTGTATTCACATTGGCCTGGACTATGACAGTTCCAGCTAAGATGTCAACTTAAAGATGAAGATTTATTCCTGTATGACAGTATGTTTATGAAGACACCACACCTGTCACAGGCGGCGTGACGGGCAAAGGGTCTGATGGAACATCTGACGGTTGTTAATTTTTTTAAAGCAACCACTGGGCAGGACTCGTATCGGAGACCTTTGCTGTTGAGTATGTATGCAAGTTAGGCTCAAAGAAATGAGCTATTCGTATATGCTCCAGTAAAAAAAAAAGAAAAGTAAATTATCGTGTCCGTTCCCGAAGGGAACTCACGACGGCCGCTAACACCCGGTAAACCCTAGCGGCAGATGCAGCGCCTAACGGTGCTCCAGTAGTTATGTTTTTGTCGTCTGTACATGTCACATGTACTGCTGTTGTTGTCATGCTACTGCGGATAGGCACACACCTGTAAGCCAGCCATGGGTTACAGCTTTGCTGCGGGCACCACCGATGGGCCAGGCGCCTTCAACTTCAAGCAAGGTATGTATCCATATGTACAGTCCATTCGCAAAAAGATGGGCCCTGGCTCTGGCGAGCTGCCGTATTAGGCGATTTTTCAAGATTTTATCGTACACAGTGCAGTGCTGTGAAATTTGAAATGTGAAAAAGGGTCCAAAAAGGGTACCTGAACTGGGGTTCGAAACGTACAATGCACTGTTGCAGGTAGGGTCAAACGGCCTGGATTTTGATGGGTTTTCCCAATTCAGTGCTCTTGGGGCAAAACCTGGCCGAAATCCTATTCTTGCTATGGCTTGCTTTTTGGAGAAATAGACTTCAGAAACATAATTGGAAGAGGATTCCATAGGGGATTGCAGATACGTACACGCATGCTAAATCGGAACATGTATATTAAACTTTGTGTGTAACCTTGCCATGTTTGTGTGCGTGCATGTGTGCATGTGTGTGCGTGCGTGTGTGTGTGTGTGTGTGTGTGTGTGTGTGTGTGTGTGTGTGTGTGTGTGTGTGTGTGTGTGTACATGTGAAACATGCATCTGGATGGGTGTACTTGTATGTGCGTGTGTTCATGCACGTAGGAACCGTTGATGGTAATCCGTTCTGGAACGCCATCTCACACCTGCTGGCCGACCCGACACCAGAGCAAGTTGCCTGCCATCATCCCAAACCCATCCTGCTCGACACCGGCGAGATGAATGTCCCGTTTCCATGGCAGCCACACGTCGTCGACATCCAGCTGCTGCGACTAGGTCAGCTGTTGATCGCCGCTGTTCCGGGAGAGTTCACCACCATGTCTGGTCGGCGATTGCGCAATGCCCTCAAGAAGCTGGTAGTGTCGATGGGATGGTCTGAGGACACGACGGTGGTGATTGCCGGACTCTCCGGTACATACTCAGACTACATCACCACGTATGAGGAGTATCAGGTATGGTATGGGTGCTTGCTGCAAGCTTGTCTCTGTGATGTGTCGTGTCTGATGTGTGTGCATGTGTATTTGCTAGAATACTGAAGCTGCTCTGGTCACTGTCTGTGTAGCTGCTGATGTGCGTATGTGTCCTGGGGAGATCCATGTGACCAGATACTGAAGCACAGCCAGCCATCAACAGGCATGATCTATGTGACCAGTTTTTGCGGCAATGGGCAAGTACACGTATGTGTGCATGTGTGTGTGTGTGTGTGTGTGTGTGTGTGTGTGTGTGTGTGTGTGTGCGTGGTCGTTATCTCTCCGCTGTCGGCGCCGCGTGTACATCGCCCTTGTGCTGACGACCCTCCTGTACGGAGCAGAGACGTGGACGCCGAAGGCACCGGACCTGCGCTCTCTCAACACCTTTCATCACCAGTGTGTTCGCATCATTGTTGGCGTATCCAGGCGGGACCAGTGGGACAACCGCGTCACCTCGGTTACCATGGCCCGAACCCTCGGCATTGACTGTGACGTCGCGGACATCATCCGGGAATATCGACTGCTTTGGCTTGGCCATGTTGGCTGGATGAACGACGACCGCATGCCGAAGCGAGTTTTGTTTGGGGACCTCCCTGCAACACGCCCTCGCCATGGTCCACGCAAGCGGGGGCGTGACGTCATCGTGGATGATCTCCGCTCCATCAGCCCCCCTGTGCTTTCTGACTGCTGGTTTGATGCTGCCCAGGATCGCTCTGCCTGAAGGCAGATTGCTCATCGTCGTCCTCCCGCCCGTGCTCCTCCTGATCCTGACGCTGGCTTCCGCTGCGCATGTGGAAAGGTCTGCCGTCATCCCGGGGACCTCAAGCGCCACGCTCCGTACTGCAAAGCTAGCGGATAGTCCCTTCGCTATCATTGCCATCGGCAATGGGCACGTTCAAGGTTCAAGGTGCGTGTGTGTGTGCGTGTGTGTGTGCACATGCTCAATTTGCTGCAGGATCAACGGTACGAGGCTGCTTCCACCACGTACGGACCTCACACTCTAGCAGCGTATATCCAGAACTACGAGCGTCTAGCCACAGATATGATCAAGGTCAGCTTTGACTGAGTAGATTTCATCAACATGACATTATGTGTGTGCTACTACATGTCCTATTGATGCTGTGCATACATTGATGTAATGTTTGGCTATGGCTGGACCCGGGACAGACTAAAAAGCAGGACTGAATGATACTTGTACTTTCATTGGTTTGAGGGAGGGGTGCAAACGGGAAAAGTCTGAAGAAAAATTGACTGTCACCACCATGACTCCTCGAGCCAGTAAATGGCACTTGTTGCCATTTTATACATGCATAACTACCAAACACATGGACTACGGTGTTGCAAACGAAAATCCTGTGAAACAAAAGTGATTAAATTAATGTCTCTACTCACGAGTTTCATGCTGAAAAGCAATCATCAGGAGACAGGGGCTATGTTCGGGGTTGTGTGGTCTTATTCACCGGATTTTCGTTTGTACTAAGCTCTGCACGCCGTGTATTGAGCTGCTGTGACCGGTAATCAAGCTTCTTCTGTGTGCTATGCGGTGTTGCTGTGTATGTTGATCTGCTGGCGTGTGAAGGGCGCACCGTCAGCTACTGAAGCACAGCCAGCCATCAACAGGCATGCCCTGGACCTGTACAACTACCCACTGCCCGTCATATGGGATTCGGCACCCATAGGCAGCTGCGTTGGCTGTGTCAGCGAAGACGCCAAAGCAACTTACACAGCCGTGAGTGGTGGTCGGTGTGTTCCCCGGCCGACGAGTCATGCTATTACTTAATTTTTTTAGTGGATAAACACTACCCCCTAGTTGAGAGAGAGTGAAGTTTTAGTTTCGTGTCTGCACTGTATTTTGTTAAACTATTTAGCATGACTTTTGCAGCTCTTAATAGAGACTGTGAGTGCAGCTACATGTACAAGAGAGGCACATTTCATGGAGCGATTTATGAGTCATTATGACCGAGCAAGATGCTCAGAATTGTGAATTTCATGGATGTCACGAACTTTTGTCCTGCAAGCGGCTTGCAAAACCTAGGGTTTCAGTTTGAACGTTGACAAATGACCTGTGCAGTGCACAGTGCAGTGGTCACCAAAGACAGATCTGTCCTCTCCTGAGTCACTTCCTTGGAATCACTGCCATCATCGACTGTGCTCACATGTGTGTGCTGCTTTGTCCACAGGGTGAAGTTGTGCAAGTTCAGTTCCACGCCGGCAATCCTCGCAACAATCTACTGGTAAGCAAGCGGTTGTGTAGTGTGAACACTTCGGACTGTGTACGCTACCGTCTATCAAACCCTGCTCAAAGTCACGTTACAATGCACGCCGTGACATGCTCGTGTTTGATGTAGGGCGGCGGTATGAGCTACGTTTGGCTCTGCTGTCTACGGGAGAGATTCGTGCATGTGCTTCTTCTATACATTTTATTGATGTTGCACCCAGTTTGTTTCCGGATTTCTTACCACTGCTGTCAACTCGATGTGATGTTATGATGATGTTACTGTGCGCTGCTGCTGCTCCTTCTGCTATTGCTGTTGCTGCTGCTGCTGGTGCTGCTGTTGGTGCTGCTGCTGGTGCTTCTGTTGATGTTGCTGCTGTTGTTGCTGTTGCAGACTGATCAGACATTCCTGACTGTTGAGCAGCAGGTCAGCGACGACAAGTGGACGGTGGTACTGCGAGACTCCGACTGGCATACGGAGTAAGGAAGAGAGCTAATCAACTACAATTATAGCATGTAGGCATTTTTGTTATCGACTAGGTTCTCATGTGCCCGGTGTAAGGATAACGGGGACGCAGTTAGTGGGGTGATTGGGTCACTGCTACATGCCCTTGGGACTGAGGGAGTTACCCGCTATCCCCTTATTCAAGCCATGTGTGTGTGTGTGTGTGTGTGTGTGTGTGTGTGTGTGTGTGTGTGTGTGTGTGTGTGTGTGTGTGTGTGTGTGTGTGTGTGTGTGTGTGAGTGTGCGTGCATGTGTGCGTGCGTGCATGGTGTACATGTGCGTGTATGCATTTACATCAACTGTCTTCCTATCCAGATTTCACTGGGACAAAGACAGCATTATTTCAACGCACAGCATTGCAACAATAATCTGGCGCACCCTGCCCAGCACAGAGGCTGGCACGTACCGCATCCAGCACCACGGCTACTATCATCCACTGGCGGAGAGCCCCAAGCCCTATAGTGGTACATCACGCACATTCACCATCACTGCTTAGTGGCGATGAGCCATCAGCTAGGACTTGTGACAACAGTCTAGGGTATTTGAAATGATCTCTGACATGCATGCATATAACGCAACACACACACGCGCGCACACGCACGCACACACACACACACACACACACACACACACACATAAGGAGGTGAAATCGGAAGGCAATGCCGACAATGCTAACATGACATTGGCTCCCTGATTTTCAAGCTGTCTCTGCTTATAGGCCCATCTTAGCATGTGTAGTGCATAGTAATACAGTGGTCCCTCTATAATCCGGCACCATTTGTGCCACGAAAATCTGCTGGATTAGGGAGGGTGCTGGATTAACAAATCTGATTTACTGCTGCAATGTGCATGAAGAGGACATTTTGGCTACTGAAAATTGTGCTGGTTTATCGAGGGTGCTGGATTATAAAGTGCCGGATTAGAGAGGGACGACTGTAATAGTGATCTGACACCATGGTTGCAGTGATACTGCACAGCAGTGACATCACTCAGCATAATGACCTCATAATTCAGGACAATGACCTCATCGTTATCATTACCTTGACACTTCTATTCAATTATTTTGGTGTTGGTGGCAAATATACTTTCATGCTTCTTACTTTTCTTCCTCGTGCACCACTTCTCAGCCACAGATGTTGCCGTTGAACATCGCATATTTTTATAGACGTGTGCGTGTGTGTGTGTCTCTCTCTCTCTCACTCTCTCTCTCACTCTCTCTATCACTCTCTCACTCTCTCTCTCTCTCTCTCTCTCTCTCTCTCACTCCAGGCGCGTAGCCCGCGGCTAGCCCGCGGCATGGAGCAAGTAGCACCCCCCCCCCTAAAAACTTCGACCTAGATTAGAATCACCATGCACGAAAATGAATGACATGCACCATGGTACCAGCCATCCTACACACATGCGGCCATGCACCCCTCCTCTCCGCGCCGCAGTGCATGGCCAGCGCCCTGGGACCGCTAGACGTGCGACCGGATTTCCATGTCCACGACAGTACGAGTCGTACATAAAATATTCTCATTGTCATTGCAACAACATCGGAGCAGTGTACATGACTGTGTTCGTAGGAAGTGCCGCAACAGACTTGTCACACTGCTGTCACAGTGCTGTCAGCCATGATACAACTATGTATCGGATTGCTTGTGAAATCCGACTGTGACGTACGTGGAGTGCGGAAAGCGCAAGCACGACTGTGTCGAGGGACCAAACGATCCACACACGTGCAGACAGTAAACTAATGTAACATGTTTTTCGATTTTGACAGCATGTATATGTACTAGTAATTGTTACAACTACCTTACAAGGCGAGGACTATACAACCATAACCCGGTTGGCAGAGTCCCGGTCTTGCGACCATTTGAACTGTATTGGGAAAACCCAGGTTCGGACCCTCTACGCGTCGTCGCCTTGTAACAATACAACAAGTCATGCTGTCAAAATCGAAAAACATGTTAAACTACCAAGCAAGGTTTCTGTATCATACCAAACACTGAAACAGTATTTTTAAAAACTACTAACTACTTGTACTTGTACATGTAGTACCGTAGTGGAGGCTCCACTCGGCGTAACCATTGCATTGGTAACCAGGAAGGCCTGGTGACTGGTGTATGTGTGTGTCACTGACTTCCTGAGTGTGAAGTGACTTCTTCGAGGAATCAGATGTAGCATGTAGCTACCGAGCAGCTGAACGAATATTAGAGCAACACTGATGCTCGAATGCAATGAGTTTCGGCTTTGCTTTGACTCTTGAAAACTATTTGGCCGAGAAGGATAAGCAACCATGGCGGCTGGGTGGCTGCTGCGCTATTCTTCGCTCGCCGCATTGGCGATGAGCCTAGCGTTGGCCAGCAACGACCAATGCATTGCCGGTGAAGATTGCCTGGGCCTGGGGAGCCGGCAGGATTCTGGGCTGGCTCATGTTGAGACGTTCGAGGACATTCCGGAGGACATGGTGCAGCGGGGTCATCTGAAGGAGCTGGGATCGCATCGTGCACCCGACAGCGAGGTGGAAGTCCTGCCCTACATGATAAGTCCTGAAGATTTCTACGAGTCATACGTAGTCCGCCACAAACCTGTCGTTATCAAGAACGCTGCGAAGCACTGGCGAGCAACGAAACTCTGGACGGACGAGTACCTGAAAAAAACGTTCGGAGATCTCAAAGTTCATATGGAGACACGGGACGACGACAAGTGGCACATTCCAGAAAGCCGTAAGCTGGGCAGGTTTTTGGATGTCTACAAGGAAGCAAATCTGTACCTGGTTGATGAACTGCCACCAGCAATGAGGAAAGATGTTACCATGCCACTATGTCTGAGATGTGACGAAATTGCTAAAAGGTATGAACCCCCTGCGGTACAGGCCACCATTCACTGAGGAAAATCCACGAACAGTCATACAAAGTATCAATAATAAGCTCCCAATAGTGGGCAACTCTGCACGTGGGGTCTCTGACGGCGAAAACTCACGTCCAAGTACGTATGACTTGTGCTAAGTACAACGAAGGCCAGCGTGCAAGCAGTCTGAATAGCTGGCATAATCATACTGATGCCTTGCATAAGCTGATGGGTTTCTATTTTTACTATTAATTTTGTATTTGTATTTTATTATATTTAAGGATTTCCCAAAGGCTTTGGGCCTGTCGAGGGGATCTCCTGCAAGAAGAATGAAATGACAACTTTATGTAGAGGGAGCAGTTAATCGAGGATAGGCTAAGGAAATAGATCGAGGCATACAACATCTGGTAATTAAGGAGTTGGGATACCGTCAGTGTAATGAATATATCGGCAAAAATGCTGATAGAGATTCCGCTGGTTGCTAAAAAACGGGCTAGGAACGCACACGGGAACCCGTGATGTGAGAGTTTTCACCATCAGCGGACCCCATGGAAAGGGTATCCAGAGCTGTGCACTCTTGGTAGCTTATATATTCTTGATAGCACGCGTAGCAGGGGCGGATCCAGGAGTTCCGCAGAACCCCCTAAATTTCGTAAATGTACTACTGGCAACCATATGTGTGTCCATGTACATGTATCAGCTGTTCAGTTTTGACTATACTGGAACCCCTCCCCATGTAGAGATCGCTGGATCCGCTGCTGGGTAGTGCCATGTGTACAGATGATGTGTAGTCGGTGTAGATAATGTTGGACTGAACTTGAACTAACCAGCTACTTGTACTTGGCTCGGCATGGTGGATAGCCAGCAGGCAAGGCTCTGTCCCTTACAAGGCAAGAAGTATACCGTCTGCTCTGTCAAAAGAAGGAACTGATGGCTTTGCCTCCTAGTCAGAACACTCTCATACCGATAAATCTCGATGATAATGTCATTGAGTGCGTTTCGAAGTCTGAAGAAAATATTGAACGGTCTCTGCTGGCATGACAGCCACGCCATAGCTCAGTGGTTAGAGCATCGCTGGCCTCAAGCAAAGGTCCCTGGTTCGAGTCCTGGTGGTGGCAGTCAATTTTTTCTTCAAACTTTTCCCGTTTGCATCTTTTCCTCAAACCAATGGATAACGCCAGTGTTACCAATTGACCCATTGCGCATTGCCAAATATGGAATGTATGAGTAATGCATGTGAGTACACTAGGATCAGGGATGAACTGTTCAACACCCCAGACGACCATGTCCAGGTGGCTATGAAGGGTGTTTATGGTACAAATTACGTCATTTCGCAATGGGTCCATTGCATACTATTCCTTGGTGCTCAGGTTCTTTGTATCGTACTTCTGGATGAGTAGCGGGGGCACAGCGTCCAAGCTGCACATCGACACCGACGAGAATCTGCTGTCAGTGATTCACGGCAGCAAGGACGTTGTCCTCATCTCGCCGAAGTACAGCCGCGATGTGTACGCGGATGAGGCACGGATGCTCGGCGTGTCCGAGGTCAACGTGTCGGCAGTGGATTTTAAGAAGTACCCGCGCATCGCCAACGTCAGATACATCACTGCTCACTTGAAGGTAAGCACGTTGTTCATGGGATCCACTCACATAGAAGCTAAGGTCAAGAATTACCATTCAACTACGACAATGTAGCTTATTCATAAGTTTGAGGGAATAAAATGGGAAAACAGGTGTGAAGAAAAAATTGACAGTCATCACTGGGACTCGAACCAGCTACTTTCGCTAAGGATCAGCAACCCTCTAACAACTGACCTATGGTGTAGCTGACATCCAAGCAACGACTGTTCCAGCACACTAGCTTAATGCTGACCATCAGTGACAACACACCTTTTGCAGGAGATTATGCCTGGCAAGAGAGCGAGAGAGGTTTGTTTCACAACGGCATGCGGTCGGAGACTATCTGCGGTGATTTGGCCCACACTGTGCCACATTGGCAATTGTTGTGACTAGACTCACTCTCTTAGTTCCACAACATAACTTACTTCATAGGACTGGGATTAATTGTGATTCATTACTACAAGACTTCCTCTAATCTCTGATCATCAAGAAGCGAGGTAAAACCATAAAACAATCAAAACAAACAAAAGGGCTAATGCTACGTGGACGATAACGTCACACAAACCGACACGTGATATTGTGTCCAACTTCGTGATGTAATCACGACATTCCCACACACAGGTGGAGAGATCAATCACAAAAGACCTGGTCACCAAAAAGAGAAAGATTATAATAGCGCATAAGAACCGCGTATTTAGGTGATTATTTGTAAACAGTTTCCTCCTTTGGGTATTGTTAATTAACTAGGGCAGTCCCTGTTGTGATCTCGAACTCGTCAGTCACTGAACTGATTTTATTGTAAAGAAGACACGAACTTATAGAGTGTAAAGAAGAGTATAGCAAGATAGAGAGCGGTGGAAGGAGAGCCGCTGGACAGCTGGATAGTGTATCAATAAGCGCACGAGGGGAAGGCTAGACAGTATGTCTCTAGACATCAATAGGTATTGTGCGAAAGGCCAGTCAATAGTACTAAAGAGTGAAGTCAACCGTAACACAGACAATAGCTTCAGACAATCATGACAGGCATGAGACAGATGACACAACAGTCCCCACAGACGCATGTCTCCTTACAGGCTACGCTAATGATGTGACATATCTTGTGAACCAAATTGCGAAGGTACTGAAGAGAAAAGAGACATAAGTCATGGAGCCCATACTACCCCCTAGTGCCAAAGTAGTGAGTGGGAGAGCAAGTTGGCAAAGGAAAAGAAAACTCGAAAAAAAGGGGGGGGGGTGAATATATACAGCTTGAGTGGACGATAGCTGTGGTTACTGTATGTGAACGAGGTAGAAGGATGGGATACTTCGCTGAGTATGGTAGGGATGAATTTTCTAATCGACCTTTGCAGCGGATGAGAGGTTATGTTCATCTAGAAAGAGCGCAAGGTTTTGGACCAGCTTGTTCTTGGCGTTGCTTTTGATAGCCTCAATCTCCGGTGTATAGTGTGTTGCTTGAACATGTTGAATCCACAGATGTTTGGCGTTGTCGATTTCAGCGGTAGACAAATGAGTGCCGCATGTGGTCTGTTGACGGCATCTCTTGACAAACTTGATACCGTATGCTGTTACACGGGCTAGATTCTCAAACGAAGTATACTTGCTCTCATCTATACTCGGCGGTGATGGCTTGCTACTGGTCTCGGTTTCCGCAGGACCCTCCGCCATGAATAGTACTGTGGAAGGAGCATCGATGACGTCTTTGGGCCAGTGTATAGGAGGATCTCGAAGCCATTCTGGACCACACCACCAAGCTGTACTGTCTGTCAGTGTGGCTAGTGATGCTTCACGGGATGGTAGGTCGGCTGAGTTGTCGGCTGTACGGATATAGTTGAAGCACACACTCTGGCCTGCACGGATTTCCTTCAACCGATTGGCGATGAAGACAGGGTACAATTTCTCAGTATTCCTAATCCAGCCAAGCTCGCACTGTGAGTCAGACCACAGGTGGGTAGCTGAGATGTGAACTGCGCCCAGAAGCTCTTTCTTCAGAAATTTGATGATCCTGGCACCGATGAGTGCTGCTAGGAGCTCTAGACGTGGTATACGTGTAGCCTTGATAGGCGAGACTCGTGTACGGCTGTAGATCAGGTCAACTGACGAAAAGGAACCGCGTTACATTGCAATCTGTCATAGATAGACCTAGCTGAAGGAAGACCTTCTCAACATCGCTGACAATGCAAATGGGGTGTAGCCGAAATCTCACCAGGATACCACACAGATCCGGCAGAAGTATCGGACCTCGATGCAGGCAGTCGTTCAGGCTGTTGTGTTCTGCGCGAGTTCTGACGGAAACATCATATACCACACGAACCTTTGTTGTGGTACTGCTGGGGCGAACAACACAGTGGTGGGGGATGTAGTGAATTGGCCCATCCTGGTGATCAAGGTTCACTTCCTCGATAATGCCATTGGCTAACTGCTCTGTGATGGTACAATGATACTTCTCTAGCACTTGTGGTGTCTGCTGGAGTCGTTTGACTAAGGATTTGAGACGGCCGAAGGCGAGCTCGTAGTTCTCTGGTAGATTAGGTTGTGAAGTATGGCTATCTTTCCATGGCCAAGATACCATTTATCGGCCGTTGATCAGTTGCAAGGAGCTGCGAAAGTGTTCCAGGGCAATGTCGTCCGCTGTCTGCAGATCACTGATGTCATCGGTCATACCAATATCTTCAAGTCGCCAGAACCGTTGGAGATCAAACACTGGGTCTGGCAAGGTGGTAGCATCTGTGAGCATTATATGGCCCGCAGTGTCATCTGTCTCTGTGTCAGTAGGGCCTGCTGGGACAAATCCCAATTTGGAGTTCAGCAAGACCAGGCCATTGTTGAGTTGGATGTGACCGTTACCCATGATGGAGAAGTAGAAATCCGTGCCGATAAGGAGGTCAATTTCTACCTCCTCACGCTTGGTGACAATGGTGTCAGCTAGTTGGATGTTCTTGACTTCAGGGTACTGGTCGATGTCGATTGGGGATTTGACAACAGGACAACAAATCCACAGCATAACATTGGTGGTTACGGGCAAGGCTGATCCATCTTGACATAGGAGGGAAAACTCCACTCTCGGCAGGGTGACCGTTTGCCGGGACGCAGATCCAAAACTAGCGATGGACAACACGTCTTCACCGACAACAGCTGCGTTGACAGAGGCAGCTAACGATTCATGAATAAATGTGCGAGTTGAGCCAGTGTCAAACAACAGTCGGCAGTCTGAGATGTTGCCTTGCCCGGCGACAGTTGCAATGGCGGTTGGGAGATTCACACCTTTGGACTGGACGTGCACCGTAGCGGTAGTATGTTTCTGTGGCGCTTGCTGCTGCTGAGTAGGATAGAAGGTACTTGCGGCAGCTGACACTGGTAATGAGCCAAATTTCTGAGGGCACAGGGCACGGTGATGGGTCAACAGATTGCAGTGATAGCAGGGTCTTGTAGCAGTACAGTCCTTTGCCCAATGTCCCTTCCGTAAGCATACAAAGCAGTGGTCGTGTAGCTGCTGCTGTCTGGTAGAAACCGTGTTGAACGTTGGGCAGGTGTCCGAGAAGTGTTGCAACTTGCAGAAGAAGCATCTCGGAGTGGCGCGCCGCACAGAGCTAACTAACGGGGCTGCCGTGGCCGGAGGTTGGGAGTAGGCAGCATGAGGCTGTGCGGAAACAGGCAGTGGTCGTGGCAGAGTGCTCTCTGGTTTGGGCCATGCCTGTCAAATGACTTCTCAAATACCGTGAACAGTTTCTGTACGGCAGACAGGCTTTGATTTGTACCGATCGCAGATTGAAACATGTCAATGAACTCAGTGAAATGAAGTATGTCACCATCAAACTTCCTGATTGTGAGGACGGGCAATTTCACAGAACCATGAGCACTCTGTACAGGCTGTGCTGAGTTGGCCGCCAGCTGGCCAACCGTGCTGGTGTGCTTCCCAATGGCTGACAGCAACTGCTGTGTTTGTTGCTGAGTTGCGGTGTGCATTGCCAGCAGTTGCTGGATGTCAATTCCAGGTGCTTGACTGCTGGTACTGGTGTTCTGGGCACTGGCGCTGGCTGTGGCTCTGTTGGCTTGAGCACTCAGCAGGGACAGATTTTTGAAGTACGACGGTAACGTACTGGCCATATTTTCATACTCTTCTTCATCTTCTTTCTTTTTCTTTTCTTGAGTTGCTCCACTAGCCATGAAATCGTATAACTCAGCGCCGTGCTTATCTAGGTCAGCATCCAACTTTGTGAGGGCATCTCTATGCTGTTCACAAAACTGGGTCCGGATCCCGACCCACTGGTCTGCGTCGTCAGATGGACAATTTTCTGAAACTAAACGTTGGCACTTCGTATCCTCATCGTGGACAGTAGAATACAATGCACTACTTTATTTGCTAAAACTCGGAGGCTCCCTAGATACTCGGACATGGTTTCGGCACCAATTTATGCTGTGACTAGACTCTCTTAGTTCCGCAACATAACTTACTTCATAGGACTGGGATTAATTGTGATTCATTACTACAAGACTTCCTCTAATCTCTGATCATCAAGAAGCGAGGTAAAACCATAAAACAATCAAAACAAAACAAAAGGGCTATGCTAAGTGGACGATAACGTCACACAAACCTACACGTGATATTGTGTACAACTTCGTGATGTAATCACGACAGCAATAGAGAACACACTAAACTGATCAGCACTCCACCCGGTAGGGATATGCACGATGAGGGACATGGCAGCTACGGCACCTTCACAGTGATAATTATTATAAAATACTACAAGGCTGGCCTGGATGGTAGCTATGCAAACCACACGAGTCGGTGACAACAATCAATATTAATGCTTAGGATGCTCCTATGCAGGTCACGAATTATGCCATGATTGTGAAGATGTGATGGCAGGGTGAAGTATCTTTCTAGTGGAAATGCAGGAAACAGAGTGGCTATGGGCACAAGGACTTCAGCCTTTGTTGTGATTGCATAGGTGATAGTGTGATTCAATTATCCAGTTAATCCATCAAGGGTGGACAGTGTTGGATGATTCTTACGCAGTACTCTACTTCGTACCCGTATCCCTTCCCACCACCCTCTCTCTCTCTCTCTCTCTCTCTCTCTCTCTCTCTCTCTCTCTCTCTCTCTCTCTCTCTCTCTCTCTCTCTCTCTCTCTCTCTCTCTCTCTCTCTCTCCCTCTCTCTCTCCCTCTCTCTTTCTCTCTCTCTCTCTTTCTCTCTCTCTCTCTCTCTCTCTCTCTCTCTCTCTCTCTCTCTCTCTCTATCGCTATCGCTATCGATCTATCTCTCTTTCTCACTCTCACTCTCTCCAACCAACACCCCGCTACCAGTCACACATTCACCTGCACGTGTGTGCAAGTGACACGCGCACACATGCACACATGCACACATGCACACACACACACACACACACACACACACACACACACACACACACACACACACACACACACAGTGACACACACACACACACACAGTGACACACACACATGCACACAGACACAGACACATGCACACAGACACACACACACGCACCGTGACACACACACACACACACACACACACACACACACACAGTGACACAGCAAACACACCTCCTATCTCATCTAAACATTTCTCCTTCCCTATGTACTTTGCATGACATGTTCACTAGGCTGGAGATGCGCTGTACCTACCTCAGATGTGGTGGCACTATGTTTACTCTGGAGTAGGCTGTCAGCAAGCCATCGCCATGTGGTGGAAGTCCATTCCCTACCAGAAAGGATTTGCAATGAAGTCGGGTAAGGTTAGGTCCAGTATGATGGTTAGAGATGTGAATGTCAGGGTACAATTGATTGTCTTAACCCTTTGCCGACGGAACTCAATGTATACAGAGAAGTGTACACTCAAAATAGTCTGCCTTGAATGGGACGTAACTTTTTGAAGGGGCTACTGCATTCAACATCGGGCCACTGTAATTGCGATTACAGTTTGACAGGCTGAGAAACAAGAACGGTGTGTATAGACAAAATGATGTCACAAATCACACTACAGAAGCAAGACTGGAATCTGACGGTTACTGATATAATTGACGTTTCGACAATTAAAAAGATGTTTTCTCCAGAATTATGGTGTAGGATGAGGGAGAGCGTGGTTGATATAGGGAGAGAAGCATGCACCAAATTGGTGCGATGATGTTTCATGTGACAAGGAGCAAAACAGTTCATAAAACAAAAAAATGTGATATTGTAACAAACGTTTCGCCGACAACTGTACAGAATAGAGGCAACAGCTGCAAGTAGTTGCAAGGATGCCAAGCAGAATAGTGACAAGGTGAAATATAGCAGCATTAGTGAAGAAGAAAGAGCTGACGAAACTAGCACACACACACAGGATAGCTGTGGTGTTGCAACTAAGTACAAGGGCGCAAGAACCGAGACAAAATGGCAAGTTTAAGGAACGGAGCAAGACCAAAGGAGCTAGGTGAGGACTTGCACCAATGACAATGGAACCCAGTCAAGTTACAGGAATGTCCTGCTGTTCGACCAAGGGTGCTGGTCAACAGCCAGTGCAGACCATGGGCCAGGAGGGGTTCCAGGGGTTCGGCGGAACCCTCTAAACTCCGGATATGTACTACAGTCAACTTCGCTTATAACAACACTCGGCGGGGCATCAGAAAAGTGTCCTTATTCGCGAAGTGTCCTTATACCCGAAGTCTCATTATAATTATGTATTACAGTTAGATGGGACTTTGCTCTGGGTATGGATATTCTGTCGTTATTCGCGACTTGTCGTTATATCCGCAGTCACACGGCGTTATTAGCCAAGTTCACTGTACTGGCAACCATATGCGTGTACATGTACATGTACATGTATCAGCTATTCAGTTTTGACTATACTGGAACCCCCCCCCCCCCTGTGGAGATCGCTGGATCCGTCGCTGACCACCTCAGGGTGGCGAAGAGCTTGGGTTCCATCGCGGACAGTATGCTTGATGGAGCTGCTTGTGGCCCTCACCGCATTGTTGCTCGCGCCGTGTTTGACACTTCCTTGTACGAATACTTGCCAATCTCGCTGTGTTATTGCGTCGCTGTGGCACCAGAGCTATCATAGATGCAGGACCGGTGGAAGCAGATTTTGATTGGTCTGGCCCTAGCATAGTCTTTGGTATAGTTTGTGTATGATATGGCGGGTATCCATGACCTCCTCAGCAGTGAACACACACTGATGGACAAACAGTTGCACGGCTTTCAGCTTGCGTATGAAATTCCAACCACTTTTTTCTCTTACGTGTACATGTCTGTCTTCTGCTACGGGTGCTGCTCAGCTTCAACATCGCGTGAGAGAACCGAAGCGGAGAGGCAGGCAGATCCGCGCATCACGTCACTGGCTCGCTGGCTGGAGGAGTACATTGCCTGGATTGATGACATGCGGCCAGACGCCGACACAAGACCAGTGTGTGAAAACCAAGTAGGTAGTGTGTGACCATGTACATGTTTGCATATCATGATATTGATCACCGGCACTATACATGTATGTTGGGGTGAAACTATTGTACCGAGAGTTATCGAGAATTACGAGTCAGTGGTAATAACATCAGCGATGATGGTGAGAAAGTTGGTTGCTTGCGAGGTGTGAGTTAGCACTTTCCCCACCAACTTGACTAGACCGTGACTTGACTGACACTCTCCAGAAAGTCTACCTTAGATGCTCTTAGTCTTACAATAATAATTGTTCTCAGAATCTTTATGCTTTGCACTTTCTCGCTTTACACTTTGCCTGGTGGCCACAGGTCAAGCTAATGAGTGAGTTCACGTTTGAAACGGACAGGGTTGAATGGCGTGAGGAGCTGACTGGCAAGGGCCGCTCACATACGGAAACCCCAGATGTTGACATGGAGCATGTGAGTGCACGTACATTTTAAGTGGTGTGTACTTCCAGCCTGCCACAGTGCAGGTGTGTGTGTGTGTGTGTGCGTGTGCGTGTGTGTGTGCGTGTGTGTGTGTGTGTGTGTGTGTGTGTGTGCAGAACGCTCGGAGTGGGCTTGTCCCGAGTCCTGTGGTTGCTGTTCGGGATGAAAATGGAAATCTGTGCACATCAGCTGAGGAGCAGGGGCAGAGGTTCAGACGGCACTTCACTGGTGTTTTAAATGTTCAGAGCATGCTGGACATGAACATCGTCAGCATGGTCGAACAGCAACTGGTATGGGA